AAAGCCGACACACGTCCTTTCCCATCGCGCCGCTCCGTTCCTCTTCGTCTCCGTTCAGAGACGAGGATTCGTCGTGGTCCACGGCGCGAGTTAACGCGAACGGGGTGTAGACGGCCGTGAGAAGAAGAAGACGAAAAAGAACCTGTTTTCTCCGAACGAGCATTCAGCCCCGGAGGTACCTGTTCGCTTTAATTCCGCCGCAGTAGGACCTGCTCCTCGTCCGGTGTATACCTGCCAGGCCCGAGACCTTTTCGTTTGTCTCTCCGCTCTGCCGTGCATAAGCGACGTCCTCCGAAGGAAAGGCGTCTCCGACGTTTAGAACGTAGATCCGTGGAAAGTGGCGAGGATAATTAATCATCCAGACGACTCACCCTTCTCCGTCTCTCTCGCCCGGTCGACGCCTCGACTCTGGGAAAAGTTCTCGTTAGGTATGGCTACGTGGAAACCCGGGCAGAGTGTCGGACCATCGCCAAGGACGTTCGCGGATGGATCCTTTCGCGCGATTTCTCGCATTCTCGCGGAAAGACGACGCGTCGCGCGACGGTAAAGCACGCGTTGAAAGCCAGCTCATGGAGCTTGCACCGTTTCCTCGCGCAAGCGACCCGCGCTCTCCAGAGCGGCGTTCCGGGAATTCGCGTTAAATTTTTCACGAAAGCTCGAGCCCCGATGGACCGACGGCCGATCGGTCGGCGTCTAAAAGCGTTCGTAATTTCGCGCGGCATCTCGATCGGCCATCGACGAATTTGCCTCGATTGGCGCCATGCTTGCAACGCGGGGCATCGAGTGCGATGGATGTAAAAAAATTTGTTTTTTTCCCCCCGTCGAAGCTTTTGCACCGTTTAAAAAAAGAACGCTCTCTCGACGAGAGTGTACACACAATGCAGGCCCGTTCCAGAGAAATAAAGATCGTTCCCGCATCGCTTTCAGCCACGACCGGGCTTCGATCGACCGACCGATTGAAAGTGTTCCCCGAACAGTCGAGTTTCATGAATCGCGATGCATTTAGCCCGCAAAACGGCCACTAAACTTTTACCTCATTGTGATATACGATCCATGCTCTCCGCCGCCAATCCCCCAAACTCTCCCTCGCTTCTCTTTCACCCGCACAACTTCTCTCCATCCCCACCAGCCGCACACCGTCGCGTCTTTTTGCTCTTCCCTCTACTTCCTCCTCTCTTTCCTCTTCTCTTGTTTGTCTTTGGTTACCCCTCCGCGTTAGTTACCCCCTTTTTACTCGCTTTCTCCCGTTAGCCTCCTTTCCCCGTGGCTTTGCCTTCTCTCTCGTCTCTTTGCCGTTCGCTCCTCCCTTTGTACCCGTTTTCCACTTGTTCCACCTTTCATTCCATCCCTCTCCTGCCCCTTCATCTTTCTCCCCTGGCGTTCGTCCTCCTCCCTTTGCCCGGCTACTTTTTTCCTACTTGCCTTTCCCTCTGGTATTCCATCTCCGGTTTGTTTCCTTACTCGAATCTTCCCGTTTGCCGTCTCTGTCCTCCTCCAATCCCTTTCCTCGAGAACGGATCTCTTTCTCCCCTAATCCGTCCACCGACTCGGTTTCTACCTTTGATCCGACGTCTGTCCGGTTCGCTCGTGCGACCGGTTGCATCGGCGCTCGTGCCGGCCACTTCCGGACACGAGATTAGTTGCGTAACAGGCCGCGGCACTTGGAAATAAGTTATTTAACAGCGGCCGGCGAATCGGTACGCGCGTTGCATTATTTACGCGTCTGTCTCGTGACTCCGCTCCTCGCGCGATCGTATCGGCATTCGATGACAGTGTCTGCGCGATAGTCGACAGACACCTAGCACGTTGCGCCGCTGGCGATCCACTGGTTCTCACTGATACTTGCCCTCTTTCCTATGCTTTCCTGCCTTCGTTTCGCACGGAATGACGGACTAGTTCTACGACTTGTCCTCGACGTCGCACTTGCGAGCGGAATTCTTAGAGGAGAAGGCGAATTTTCGAGTCCCCTTGAGCTAGCGAAGCACGGCTGATCGGAACGGACGGGAGGAGACGGAGAAGGTAGAGGGAGCCGGCGAGGATGAATGAAAATGGCCGACCCCTGAGCTACTGAATGAGTCAGAGGCCGGCGGAAAGAAGCCAAGTGTACGGGCACTATGGTCGTGATTTTCGCGTGGCCGCTCGTAAATCCCGCAAGGGGTGATTATTTCCTCGCCAAAGTCGCACTTTCTTCGCTCGACGATGTTCGACGCGTCTCTTTATCCCGCTGGGAACCCGAGAACTTTTCCCCCGGCATAATGTTTCTCGCAGTCAGCGGGCAAAGAAAGAGGAAAAAGAAGACAGCGGAGGAAGGAGAGGTAGGAAAAAAGTAGACGCGTGTTCCTTCCAGCCTGTTTAGGCGTCGTCGTTGCGTCGGAAGAAGAAAATGGCACCTCGTGGTTTCCCTCGCTGCGTCTCCTCCGCTTCCTTTCTCGCGGGACTGCTCGCTTTTCTCGCGAACAACTCGCGAGGATCTCGGTATTCCCGACGCGAGCAAGTCTGTTTGCAGACAGCCGTCCACCGGGTACCGTTAATCTAAGACACAATAGCGGAGACGTTGAAACGAGACCTGGAGAGCGAGGATCTGTCACGAGCACGCAATCGAGTCCGCTGACAGGTGTGCCGCTCTCCGTGGCCTGACCTCCTGTCGTCCGATCAGACAGGTGTCTTTCGTGAGAGACGGATGGAAGGTGGATGAATTAAAGGAATAGTCCTCTTTTTCTGCCGACTGATTGGTACCGCGTATGGGGTTCCTTGGTCGAGGACCTAATTCCACGAATGGACTCGACGTCTAGCGGCTAGCTAGCTGGACGAGTCGCAAGTTCACTATCACCTGGTCCGCTAGATAGGAATGCTCGGGGGCAATTTTCCCGATGAAATTGAGCGTCTGGAGAGCCAGTGGATGTTAATTCGCGCGCGCGTTAATCGGGAAAAATGCCGCTAGAACTACGCCGTCGTCGGACGAGACTGACAAGCGCTAAGAACTCGCTCTAATTCCTCGCGACTCGACTTTAATGACTACATAGACGAGGACAGGTGTTTCTCCGAGTGTATTCTTCGCCTTGATACGCTTCGGGAAAAAGGTAAAGCAGCTGTCAGAGGACTTCCTTTTGCAGTTAGCCTCTAACGTCTTCGCGGTCCGATTTTTCTTAGGAATTAAATTCCCAGGATGCCAGCCGCTTGTTGCCAGACACTTCCAAGCCTACTTTAGCCAGACTGCTGTACCAGCGCGACTGCCGTTCCCGTGGTTCTCCCGAACGAAGAAACGGGGTGTTATCTGGATTTTTCATCGACTTTCGGCGGAGATTAGACGCCGTTTCTCCGCGGGACGGGATATACTGGTTTCTAATCGGTACATTTAAAAAACGAACACGTCCGTTCTCTATGACAAACCGACCGCGTATCTGCGTGCCGCGTGAACCACGGAGCCAGGCGCTCGTGTCCCATATTCGTGAAACCAGTCGAACTGGTGGCCGTTGAAAAGCGCGTTTCAGTGTTCCGCGCTGGCGATCCCTCGATTTTCTGTAACGCGAATGCGCGATAACGAGCCTGATCGATGAGTACGGAGAACCGGGTGATTAGCATTAGTCGCCGGTTGTTCCGCCCGTTACGTTTCATCCGTTAGAGATGGCTCCTGGAACTAGGCGAAGGCTCGCAGAATTGGCCGTGATTGAGATTTTTCTCGTCCCGGCTGCATCGCGAGCGTTTCGTAATCCCATTTCGCCGAGCTTTGAGAAACTAGGTTTCTTCGTTAATCGGACAGACGATCGATAGAAGGAAGCGAGAGAGAGAGAGAGAGAGAGAGAGGGAGAGATAGAGCAGAGGTCAGTTGCACGTCTATGAATCATCCGGCAGTAGCCTGCTAGGGCGAAAGACAGCAAAGAGAGAGAGGGAGAGAGAGAGCAGAGGTCAGTTGCACGTCTATGAATCATCCGGCAGTAGCCTGCTAGGGCGAAAGACAGCATAGACGATTTGCCATGGTGGTCGATAGCGAGGAATGACCAGACGACCCTTTGTGCCAGGCTTATCGACCCATTCCGTGCATTAACGAGCTCGCGGAATATTATCGCGTGGCGCTATTATCAAGCTAAATGAATAATTCCACGGGGCACGATCAATGGCTAATGACACGGGAACGAGTGGCGCGAAATTTTTTAGCATCGGCCCGGTTACGTGACGCGTACAATTTCCCCGTGAAATATTCACAGGACACGCCAGTGTACGCTAAGTACATTTTCCATGGGGCCGGGGCTATTAACGAAACGGCCTCGTTCGTTGCGCCTTTAGCGGCCGGGTAAATTGCCTATAATGTGGACACGCTGGAAAATTCAGCGGAAACGCGTTGCGAAAAGTCGAGACCGGCCCTCGGCCATTTCGCGTATAGAAATAATTCATTTAGAAAACGAGGCCCGGCCTCGAATTTCCCAGCCCCTGTTTGCCATCGCGCTCGCGAAACGCGCAATAACCCTTTTATCGGCGCCAGGAGCGCACCCTCGTTTGCCAACCACCCAGCGCGCATAACAAACATCCCCCGGTTCCCGCCGATTTTTCTCCGCCTATCGGCTCGCCTTTCCAACGCGTACGCGTACCCCGGACCCTTGGAAATTTCCCTTTCGGGACTAATTTCCTCCCCCTGTGAATTCTCATTTGGCAACCTGCCATTGTTCCTCATTAACCGACTCCGATATTAATGGAACCACCGTCAAAAAGTGGCTCCATGTAAATCGACCTCTGCCGGACGTTCGAAAGCGAGTGCACTCCCTTTAATCCTTCGCTTTGATCCATACGTTCCGTTCCGACGAAAATACGCGACGAGCGTGGGCGATCTCCGAAAAATCCGAAAAATTTCGAGAACACGAAAACGAAAGGAAATTTCGTCCTTTCGCGTAGGTTCTCGGCTACGAGGCAGTCGCGGGAACGCGACTCGGACCGCGAAAGGTTAAAGGGAGATCGAGAGATGTTATCGTAGATCTGACGGTATCCTTGGTGTTCTTGTGTTGCAGATGCCTCGTCCTCGAACGAAGCCGTGCACCTCCAGCAGCGTCTCAGAAGCTTGAGCACGGAACTGGTGACCCTGAGGAACCGGCTGCACGTGAACCAGCCGCCGAACAATTCAGGGCCGAACGGCGGTGCGTCGGCGCCCCTGTCGAAGAGCCCGGAAAAAGGCGGCGTGCCATCGTCGCCCGCGCCCGCAGTGCCGCCGAGGACCACGCTTCCGCTTTCCGGCACGCTGCCCCACGGCCTCGGTCATCCTTCGGGGCACACGTTGACGGCGTCCGCGATCGTTCATCCACACGTCAATCACGCCGGCGCGAACACGCTCGGCCACAACTCCACCGCGGCTAATAATTTAATATCCGGTCAGTACGCTGCGGTGCACGCTTTGCACGCCTTCCGTCCATGCTCGATACCTGCTCGATGCAGGATGCCGTGCTCTAGCGTCGGGATTTCGCTCGCGAACAAAGCCCCATCGATTGCTTTCCGTTTATATCGTTTATATCGTTTATATCGTTTATATCGGGGGAATCGAAGAAATCGCGGAATTCTATCCCAGCCAAGACCCAGGATATGTTACGTTGCATCCGCATCCGTGTTTGTTACGTCACCTAGCCTTCGTCACCTGGTCGAATGTTCCTCGTGGAATTTACGTAACTCCGACGGACGATTATCGCGAATTAAAACGGATCACGCTATATATGTAAATTGCCGCTATCCACGGTGAACCCTTCACGTGGACACCCATCGGGTACGTTTCAAGCTCGTTAATATTTAAACGGCGCGTAATATCGTCATTAAGTTAATTCGCGACTCGCTAGAGCACAGCGTGCGCTGCTTTTTCACCTGGTCAAGGGACGACGTTTTAAATAACCGGAGTTCGCAGAGTAGCCCGCGAAATCATTGAAACGGTAAACGCGTCTGTTTACAGAGCCGCCATTTCCCCAAACGAATCGGGGAACGTTTTATGATTTATTTACCATTTCTCTGGCCCTGGATTTCGGCTCGGCTTGTTTTTACAACCCCTTTCCTCTCGCTTTTTCTCTCTTTCCGCCATTTTCAATCCGTTCGATCGGACGGGAAAAATATAGAAACAGCGGCGCGAGGGGTTGCGGTTTGCTCGGACGCGATTGCCCTTCGCGCGATTTCCAGCAGGGAAGAATAAAAATGTTGCCGCGTCGGGTAAAGCGGTTCACGTGGCACGCCGCATCTGATCTCGAATCCCTTCCGGTTAATCGGGCCCCGCCTGGCGAAATTGCACGCGGGTACAGTTAACCGCGATTCGTTTGAATACGCCTCGAACCTCCTCGTCGCTGACATTCAATCCTTTCTTTCGCCAACCTTCTCGAAGGGACGGGAATTCGGGGAACGCTCGGTAACGGCCGACCAATTTTCCGTCTTACCTTTCCCGCGCTCGTATCGTCTCTAGAATAGCCGGGAACTCGTTCGACTTGCCGGAATTTTCTTCAAGGCAGCACGAGAGAGATAGTCCCATCGGTGTCGATGTTCGGTGACAACGAACAAGGTCGTTACAAGAGGTTTTCGCGTTTGCCGACAGACTTGGATCCACCGAAGCGGCACAATGGCATCCCGGACGACGGCATAGTGTCGTGCGTGACAGCGTTGGGCTGTCTACGCTCGCCACCGATCTCGAGCATTATAGCCGACGTGAAAAACGCGAAGAGCAATCAGGGTCAGCACCGATGTCTACCGAAAGGTACCACGGCTTCGGGCCCCGCGACCTCCACGGCCTTGGACGACCTCATTCATCTGCCTGGACCTCTGACGGAAGACGCGGTGCTCAAGTGTCTGCAGGCTCGGTTCTGCGCCAAACAGTACCACGTGAGTACTACTCTCCTCGATCTTCGTGTTCCAATTACAGCAACGTATCTCGAATACCACGCGGTGGAAAGGGACCGACTTGGCAGACCAGTGGCGCGTGATTCAAAGAGGAATTTGGAGGCCGGTAACGGTAGCGAGAGCGTCGAACGCTGGTTCTCGCCTCTATCGGTAGTCGTATAATCCGATATCCCGATGATTGGCACGAATTTCACCTAATCGACCCGCACATTCTTCGCCCTTTGCCAATTCAATCGGCCGGCGTGCATCGATCACTCTCGGCCTCGATAGCGACGACAGGACACGATAAGTTCGCGCCGCTTCTAATTGAGATGAATGCCCTGTTAGCGAAGATACGTCCACGAGCCATTTAACAGCTGCGCGATTATAAAATCGCGAGAACGCCAGCAGCCTTCGCGATGCCCTCTCGAGCAGCGCGAAAATCAATTAACAACCCTTAAGCCTTGGAAAGAAGCATTGTTCGCCTTTTTCCTCGGATATCGATTATCGTTGCCCGGGATCCCATGTAGCGGTGGTTGTCGAATTTAACGAGGTCTCGGCCGTGCAGCCGGGTATACCCCGTCGGAGATAGCCGTGCTCGAAGGAGAAATCGGGAGTTTCTCAATAGGTCGTTGAGACGAGGGGAAACTGAGGCGAAAGAAAGGGAACGCCTCGGGTGAAAAAGTCTGTCGATGGTCTCGTTGACCGTGGACAGATATCGCGCGGTTTCATTGCACCGGGCTGCCCTGATGCACGCAAAAAGGGCCCCGTTTCCGGTCCCGGGCTACCGCTGCAATTACTTTCCGCGATGGACGACGTTCCCGAATTTCTTTCGCGTATCCGTCGCTATTAATTATCGCATTTTGTTTACACTCCCTGTTTGTTTATTTACATTTCCAGTCGTTTGTTTACATTTTCGCGTGTTTACGTTCCCAGCGCGTTTGTTTACATCCGCGGTCCGCTTGTACATGAGATTTATTTATTTGTATCTTCATCCGTGTGTTTACGACCGCGTGCAACGCGGGGACCGATTAGGGAGGGGGATAGGCAGAGAGACACGAAACGATGGATGAAATCGTTGTCGGTCGTGCGAATGGGAAAATGAAAAGCGACCAAGGTCCGCCGACGTGGGACAGCTATTAACGCGGGTTTAAATTTCAAAGGGGATCTAAGCTCGATCGTGCGAGCGAGTGGCTCGAAAGCTCGCAGCAGAAGGGAATCGAGGCGAGCATCGGAGGCCACGGGGCCCGACGTGGGACCGGTTCTCTCTCTCCCCACTCGGCTTTCGGGCGTTTTTCACCTTTTTGTTCCTCCTGCACGCCGTTGCTTTCTCTAGGTGGGCTTCTAATAGGAATCGAGACCCGCCAAAGCCTCGCCGCTCGTTGCGACTTGCACCAGCCTGCGCTTTCTGCCCCCTTCGTCCTCGCCGTTCCCTCTACACCCGTCCCTTCCCGCCGACTCGCCCGATTTCCAAGTGTCCCTGATGTCTCCGAGCATCCTTTCATCCTGAAAATTAATACCAACTCGCCGCTCTTCTTCGTCAACGTTCCACGAACGTTTCCGAGAATAGACCTCTCCATCTTGTTTTCTCCATTTTTCGCCACTCGCGAAAGTTCACCCATTGACGAGTTACCGGTCAGCCACTGTCGGTAATTTAATTTCCGATTTTTCCCCTGGCTGAAACGATTCCGCGATCATCAGTGCTACGTAATAACAAAGACAAGATAGATGCCCCTTGTATCAGCCTGGTATAATCAGCCTCGTAAGATCGAGCCACGATTAATCTTGCCCGAGGCTCGTTGCAAAGCGCGGCTCTAGGCATCCATAACCCACGCGTCCGATACGCAATAACAATGCAAAAAGCAGCACGGCTGGACGGTGAAGGAAAAAGTAGTCTCATTTCGCATCGTCCCTGACGAGGGCTCCGCCGCGATCCCGCGTGTCAGAAGCTTTGTGGACGAACCGACAATCGGACGAGTAGATAATCGAAACGCGTTTCAGACGAACGTGGGCCCCATACTGGTCTGTATCAATCCATATACGGACGTCGGGAATCCATTGACCTTAACGAGCACCAGGGCCGTACCTTTGGCGCCCCAGCTGAACAAAGTCGTTCAGGAGGCCGTGCGACAGCAGTCGGAAACTGGATACCCTCAGGCCATCATTCTTTCCGGTAAATAGCGGACAGCTTTCATCCTCGACTAGTTTTTTCGTCAGACTGAAATATTTTACGAGCGTCGTCAGAGTACATGCGAATTGTTGCTCTTCAGGAACCAGTGGTTCCGGCAAGACGTACGCCTCCATGTTGTTACTTAGGCAGCTGTTCGACGTGGCTGGAGGTGGTCCAGAAACGGATGCCTTCAAGCATTTGGCGGCGGCCTTCACGGTTCTTAGGTCTCTCGGATCTGCAAAGACCGCCACCAACTCGGAGAGTTCTAGGATAGTACGTCACGGTTTATCTTTCTTTCCTATTTTATTTTTCTCTTCTTCCTGATTTATGTACGACTATGATCTTCTTTTGAAAAGGTCGTAGAAACCGAGAGATTATCCTCATTGTTTCCCCAGGGTCACTTTATCGAGGTCCAGGTTACAGACGGTGCCTTGTACAGAACGAAGATACACTGCTATTTCCTGGACCAAACGCGAGTCATCAGGCCTCTGCCCGATGAGAAGAATTACCACATATTTTACCAAATGTTGGCCGGCTTGTCGCACGAGGAACGAGGTAGAGAATCAGCTTCCAGTACGGATAAGCAGCGTCATCCATCTACCAAGGTTTTCTAAGCTTTATTCAGTTTGCCTTCTATTCGCCAGTTAAACTCAATTTGGAGGGGTACAACCTGAAGAACCTCAGGTACCTGCAGCACGGCGACACTAGGCAAGACGAGGCTGAGGATGCCATCAGGTTTCAAGCGTGGAAAGCCTGTTTGGGTATGTTGGACGTCTACTCGTAGTCTCAGACAACTTTTAGACTCGTAACGTTCGTGAAGGCATCGGATCATGTGATATCGTCCACAGGTGTGCTAGGTATACCCTTTCTAGACGTAGTCCGAGTCCTGGCGGCGGTGTTGATCCTCGGGAACGTTGGTTTCACGGATGGTCCAGGAGTGGAGGTTGGCGTCATCGGCGAGAACGAGTTAGCCTCTGTCGCGGCCCTCCTAGGAGTGCCACCCCCGGCGTTGCTGAGAGGACTCACCTCGAGGACGCACAATGCCCGTGGCCAGCTGGTGAAGTCGGTCTGCGACGCGAATATGGTACAGTTAACTCATTCCGTGCAATCCGAGCCGTGACGACGGCCGATCGGAGCGGAACCATATTGAAGGATGTTTGTTTATGCAGTCTAACATGACCAGGGACTCGTTGGCCAAAGCTCTGTACTGCCGGACCGTAGCTACGATCGTCAGGAGGGCCAATAGCCTGAAGAGACTAGGCTCCACCCTCGGCACCTTGTCGTCGGACTCGAACGAGTCCGTTCATAATCAGGCCGAGGTGACCAGTCAACACGCGTCTACTATTGGCAGCTCTGCAGGTAGGCGAAGTTGATCCCCAGCGTTGCAGTTTGGAGATTGATGGCTTTGACCCGTTGGAAATGATTAAGGATCTATGCTGTAACGATTGTAACGAGTAGATGTAAATAAAATTGATGGACTGCTCGAACGAGCGAATAAATTGCTCGTGAAACGTAGAATAGAATGAAATATTCTACCGCATCGGTAATTCGTTGCGAGACAATGGTTAACAGAGACGTCGAGCTAGTGACAAATTAAGAAATTAGCCGAGAACAACTTAACGCGTACCAGCTAACAAAAAAGAACCTATTTCCACACTGGTCGACTTCTTTGTCCCCGAGTCAGTTCTTTTCTCATATCAACCGGGATCTCTCGTGTCACGTGCAGGTGGTACCGGTTCTAGAAGCATGACCGCGCTGAACAACGCGGTACGACACGCGACGGACGGGTTCATCGGGATCCTGGACATGTTTGGGTTCGAGGATCCGAAACCGAGTCAGCTGGAGCACCTGTGCATCAATCTGTGCGCGGAGACGATGCAACACTTTTACAACACGCACATATTCAAGAGCTCGATCGAGAGCTGCCGCGACGAGGGCATCCGATGCGACGTGGAGGTCGACTACGTCGACAACGTGCCATGTATCGATCTCATCTCCTCTCTGGTGAGCGTGCAATAATTCTCGATAATTAATCACCCATTGGGATTTGATAAAACGACCGAGGAAGTTGTAGCACGAGGATTTTGCTATCCGTTTCGCAGAGAACCGGTCTGTTGAGTATGCTAGACGTCGAATGCTCGATACGTGGCACCGCCGAGAGCTACGTGGCGAAAGTGAAGGTTCAGCACAAGCAGAATCCACGGTTGTTCGAACCGAGGACCGTGGATTGCAGATCCTTTGGGATTCAGCACTTTGCCGGCAGAGTAACCTACGATGCTTCCGACTTCTTGGGTAAGCAGAAGACTCGATAATTTATTTAAACCATCGACGACTCTTCGCGCTTCCTTCGAGGAAACTTTCTCTAGCTGTCGCGCAGACGAATAAGAGAAATTTTCCTCTACTCGATAACGAAGATCGTTCGAAAATCGTGGGCACGATAAACGACACTGCCTAACACAGATTTCTCTCCCGTATACCGTAAAGATACCAACAAGGACGTGGTGCCTGACGACCTGGTAGCCGTGTTCTACAAGCACACGTGCAGCTTTGGTTTCGCGACTCACCTGTTTGGCAGCGAGCTGAAAGCTCTCTACGCGAGCGACACGGTGCCCAGGGGTGTCAGCTTCAGGATATCGCCCACCTCTCACACCGACCTGTAAGAGGAAGATCGCTTATATAAGATCGTTCTCGATATACTTGAGCGAGACGAGGAGCAAGGACGATTGTCGGCGATTTCTTTTCAGGCTGAACGGGGACGAGCCGATCTCCACGTTAACGCAGGACTTCCATACGAGGCTGGATAATCTCCTGAGAACTCTGGTCCACGCGAGGCCCCACTTTGTCAGGTGCATTAGGAGCAACGGCACCGAGACGCCGCTTCACTTAGACAGAGGCGTGACTATGCGTCAGATACGATCCCTTCAGGTTCTCGAGACGGTGAACCTAATGGCCGGCGGTACGTCTTGAAACTATCCAGGACAGGGAATTTACATACGCGCGCGGTAGATCTCTTCGCTTGTTATCGGCTGTGACGTCCGATCTTACGTCGTCGTAGCATGTGTTTCCTTGTCGGTGATCGTTTCTCAGCAACGCCGGAATCTTGATAGTCGGAACTTGGGAGCTCTCTAATTTTCAAGATTTAAAGATACGCGTATACGAATGCAAGCTTCTCATTTCTATCCTAAAGCTCCGTTCCGATGGGGAATAGTTTCTTTATATCGCTCGTTCGTTAGTCATTCCGTTGAAACTAACGAGTTTAGTTAAGCAGAGGGCATCGACCCGAAAAAATTACAGGGTATCCGCATCGGATGCGTTTCAAGGCGTTCAACGCGAGGTACAGGCTGATCGCGCCGTTCAAGCAACTGCGTCGTGCCGAGGAGCAAGCGGTGGAGGACACCAAACTCATCCTGCAGAACGCGCAGCAACTCAAGAGCAAATTCGGCGCGAGCACCAGCTGGGCGCTAGGCAAGAGGCACATATTCCTCAGCGAGGGCATTAGGCAGCAGCTCGAGAACCTACGCTCGGAAACGCGCAGGAAAGCTGCCACCGTGATACAGGTAATGGAATCTTTGCACTCTTATCCTCTAATTATCCATTTCCAAACTCCTTCGTGTCTTACTCGCTCTTCTTTCCTCACGCGAGGGAAATACGACCGTGATTGAAGAAAGATTTTCCGTGTCAGCTTCAGGGAACAGAATTACGAAAGCAAAGTTACTCTTACTAATTGTTCGTCCGTCTTCAGGCCACGTGGAGAGGGTGGCGAGTGAGGAGAAGGTGGCCCCTCAGGAAGACCACCATAGGCGTTACGTCCGGTATCGGTCAAAAGAAGCCGCAGCAACCCACCTCTGCGAATACCGGAACCGTTCAAAGGAACGTCACCACCAGCGCGGGTACCGGAACCGGAACACGACCCAGGCCTCAGCCAATCGCTGGCACGCCACCGCCCGATCCATCGGAGAAGTGTGCAGATCAGAAGATGATCCAGCAAACGTGTACCCTATTCGGGCTGGATTTGGTAAGCGGGGCAAGCACCGTCTCTTTATAAATAGAATCCTCCGTTTTAAGGCGGTGACTTTAGCTCGTGAAACGAAATAGGAAGTGTTTGGAACTTTGTTTCAGGAACGACCGCCACCGGTTCCGCCCAGCAGATCGTACACCGTGACTGGAAACACAAAGTTGGGCTATCCACAGACGAGGATCATGAAGATGCCCTTCCCAGGTAAGAAGATGATTGCTCTTGTAAACGCCGATCTTGTTAAACTTGGAAATTGGAGTATCGTCGTTAGTCGAATTTATAAGAAAGAATTTACACGAGTATAATTTTTATCGCCGAGTTGTACAATAGGTGAGAGAGTCGTAATGTCAGTTGCACAGAGGAGCTCGATTTTTTCTATTTCTCTATTTCAAGCTCCTTCCTGGACTCATCCTACTACGCATTAGGTTTTGAATTCCAAATATGGGTGGAGTTATTGTTCTTTCAGAAGAGGGTGAAGGGGAGGTGGTCCTCCTGAAGGGTGAGACAGTTCTGGTGGTGGGTGCGTCTCCCAGGCGAGGTCACCTACTGGTGGAACACAACAACACCACGCTACACGTGCCCTATCAGTTCATGGAGCTGAAGCCCTGTAATATTAACATCTGAACGCGTTATTTATTTCCGTGCCGTATCGTCGCTCGTACCCACGCCGTGCTGAATGTCAGCAATCCGTAGGACAAACGAAAATCGAAATTTTCACCTAGGCTTAACGACCACGTTTAGTTAGATAAAAAGCAAAACGGACGAGTATTCTGTTTCCGTTCTCGCGCGATTAGAAGGTGGACGGTGGATTCTGCGGAAATAAAAATGGAGGATGGCGGAATGTAACAGTACGCGGGTAGCCGTTTCTAATTTGAAAGGACGATTCGAATAGAGCCGGATCTCCGTCCCATTCTCTTTCCTTTGTTACATCCCTTCCACCGGTAATCCGCCATTATGCTGACATTCTATCTTCCCCGATATATATCCTTTTTCCACTCCTTTTGAGGTCTTTCTCGCCGACCATCCACTCCGGCTAAAAACAACCTGCTGATGGAAAACAAACGCGTCCGCGGGAGTTCCCTATGGAAACGCTGTTATCCGATGGACTTCCAGATACAATTTCATTCCTCCACTCTTCGGCTTTCAATTAACTTCACACAGTCACCCGGTGCTCCTCTTTTCTCCCATCGTTTGAAGTATAGAAAATTGCCCTCGTTTGTTATTCCACGAATTCCGACTTCTTCCTTCTCCCGGTGCTCTTCAAGATTTCTCCGAAAAATTCCCTCCACGACTATTCGAATCGCTATTGGATCGATATAACCACGTAGCCGACGTCGAATCGGAACAATTTTCCGCGAAATCCTCGTGTTCGAGAGGAGAGAAGGACAGAGAGGGAGAGAGAGGGAAA